CGGCGGCGGCGTGGGCGGCGCCTCCGCCGCCGGTGACGGCGGATACTTCAACGATGGACGACAAGATCTTAATCATAATTATTCAATGGCGGTTGGTGGTTTTCAGACTTTGCCGACGAACTCGGGATCGGAAGTTGATGATTCACAGGTCATGGGGAGTGAGTTTGCTACTGAGTCCAGTAATGAGTTGGGTTATCCTCCGATAATTACTTTGGGTGTTAATAATAATACAAATTCTGAAAAAGCTATAGTTACTGCTGTTAATTCTGGGAGTTGTAAGAAAATTACTGATACTTTTGGTCAAAGAACTTCTATTTACAGAGGGGTAACAAGGTAATTTTGTTTTTGTGTTTGAAAATCATGAGTTTTGAAATTAATTTATTTTTAGTATAAAGTTTTGATTTTGATTTTTTTTTTGCAGGCATAGATGGACAGGAAGATATGAAGCTCATCTATGGGATAATAGTTGTAAAAGAGAAGGTCAAGCAAGAAAAGGGCGTCAAGGTAAATGTTCCTTCGATTTGTTTGTCTGATTTTGATTGACATTGAGTAATTTTTTGAATAGTATGTAAAATGTATTAAAAATACCCTTCATATTTGTGATTTTAATGTGAAAGGTTTATGGAAGGGGGTATGTAATTGTATGTTGTTTCAATAAATTGTACTACTCACTTATAAATAATTTGGACTCGGTTGATATTTATATCTAAAATACGCGTCCTACGTAACATAATACATACGGAGAATCAAGTATAATGTGTGTGTATATTTGTTCAGTTTCGTACTTGTTTAGGTGTTTATTTGTTTATAAGTCAAAGTTAGGACATATATATATATCAAATGAAGTCAAGTTAAAAACACGTTTATATAATATATCGAAATTTTTTTTGTACAATTTTGAGTCTGATAAAAATACAGTTGCATGCAATATAAGAACTTTAATGTGGCCAGAATTTTTTCTTTGAAAAAAACAGGCTTTTATGATGATTGATTGATTGCTGGTATCTAAATGTACAACTTGTACTCTTTTTTTGTTTTTTCTTCAAAGTTTTACAACTGATTTGATCAGCTGGGCCGCCAATTTGTTCATTTTTTTCAGAGTGCGTATGGGTTATTATTGTATTCTCCTATTTATTTTTCTGACCAATTCTGAAAAATACTTATCTTATCAAATCTTAAAACAAAGGTTTTAAATATTATCCATTAGTTATTCATTTTCTTCAACATATAATTATTTGGTAGCATTTTTTTCTAAATTACCACGTGCATACTCAGCTAGTCTAAAGTCTGAAAACTAGCTTTATTTCAATATGTTCAAGTCTTGGGAATAGATTATCCGATATCTGTGTTGATGGGAGGTAACAAATTTTCCGTGGAATTGACTCATGTTGAGAAAGTTGACTAGTAATGTATCAAATAAGATGAGTAACGTATTACTTGCACTGTTAGTGTATATAAATAAATCTTGAGAATTTTAAAGAAGTGCCGGTTTTTTTAATTATTATTTATAATTATGGATTCATACACCTTGGACATGTATATATAGTTGATATTTGCTATTGATCATGTAGCACGTGGACCTACAAGCTATGTTATTCAGACTCTTTAAAAATGTCTATGAGTGCGTGTGGAATTCTCCGAAAGTAGCGTATATTTGGAGAATTCGACACGGGTACAAATCGTAAGTGAAGAGTCTATGCAACTTAGCTACAAATAGTGGATTAGACAACTCTAATACTAGTTATTTAAGTAGCATGTTGGCACTTGAGAGTCGTTTGGCTATCTGTTGATACTAATGATTGTATCAAAGTAAGCTTGGGTGGAACCCTTTCTTGGATCTTGTGTGAACGCAAGATGCTTTATGCACCGAGCCACCTTATTATTAATAATAAGCTACAAATTGTTTAAGTTCATATTTCCACACGAGTCATAATCAATTAAAAACATAGTGGGAACAACTTGTTCACTTTTTTCTTTGTCTTGGCAAGACATGTCACTATCTTTGCTTAAATCACATGTAGAAATTCAAATGTTTAAAGCTTTTATCTTCTCTATACGCATGCACCTTGCTTTATCTTTTTTATTTTTCTGTGTTTTACACTTTTTATGCAAAAATTTGACTATGTTGCAGCTGATTTCTAATATGATTATCTCACTTTTTTTTCCCTTTTATCGGCGTGGTTGCTTTTTGCTGAACTCTAAATTCTGGATCCGTTCTGCAGTGTACTTAGGTAAGTAATTGCCTCAATATTAAGTTCTAATTTTTTTTGTCGTACAATCCGACACGTCAATAAAATTTTGGAGTTTTAATAATGAAATAGGTGGATATGACAAGGAGGACAAAGCAGCAAGATCTTATGACTTGGCAGCTCTAAAGTATTGGGGTACATCAGCCACAACCAATTTCCTTGTAATATACTACACACTTTTATTGCTTCGCATGTTTCACAATTGTTGTGTTTTATATATTTTTAAAGATAAACTTTAGAGTATTTTTAATTAAATAAATGTCACACGGATCTAAAGTATTGGGGTACAACAGCCACAACCAATTTCCCTGTAATATACTACACTTTTATCATATGGTCAATTAAATTACTTGCACGAAAAGTTACGTAGTCGTTGAAGGATGTTCGACCTTTAGTTTTAACTGATATATTTTCCAGGCTTCGGATTATACCAAAGAAATAGAGGAAATGAAGCACATGACGAAGCAAGAATTCATCGCCTCCCTAAGAAGGTGCACGGGCTTTTCCCTTTACGTACCACATTGTTGTTGTGTTACTTCCATATGGTATCGATATTAATACTCTATAGGAATTTTGTACATGGATATCAGGAAAAGTAGTGGTTTCTCGAGAGGAGCTTCTATGTATCGCGGTGTGACAAGGTTTGAATTTTTTTCGAAGCAATTGAATAGTACTTCTACTCATTTTGTCGTGTAATATCTAATCGTGTCCTGTATGGAGTGAGCAAGATCAATGTTCGTCCCATTTCATGAGCCGTGTTGATTGACTAGTGATGAACTTTTGCAGGCATCATCAACAAGGCCGATGGCAAGCACGAATCGGTCGTGTTGCAGGGAACAAGGATCTGTACTTGGGAACATTCGGTAACTATCATAATTTCCTTTGATTCATTTCTTAGATTATATCTATTAATAAAAACATAATTAGCTACGAAGTTTGTTGCTAATATGTCGTGAAATAAGCTCATTGCTAATAGAGTTTTCTGATAATCTGTCGTTAGATAGGATTAACGAGAGATATTATTGTTGTTTAGTGATAGGAGTTGTCCATGCTTTTTTTTTCCTACCCTCCCTAGGAGCTTCCACCCCTTTTGCTCCTTTGGTGACTCGAACTCGCAACCTTCGGGTTGGAAGTGAGGGGTGCTTACCATTCGAGTAACTCCCTCTCGTCGAGTTGTCCATCGCTAATTTAGCGATTTTTCTAAATTATTGCAGCTACAGAGGAGGAAGCAGCAGAAGCATATGACATAGCAGCAATCAAATTCAGGGGATTGAATGCAGTGACAAATTTCGAAATGAACCGATACGACGTTGAGGCCATCATGAAAAGTTCACTCCCGATAGGCGGAGCAGCAAAACGCTTGAAGATCTCTCTTGAATCGGAGCAGAAACAGTCGTTGAACGATACGTACCAGCAGACTCTACACAACAGTGTCAACAATAGCAGCAGCAATAACAGCATCAATTTTGGGGCGATTTCCCCTGTTTCAGCTATCCCCTGTGGACTGCCATTCGATGCGAACCAACCTTATTACCACCACAGCTTCTTCCCACACCTCCAGTACTCGAGCAACGATGGTGGTGCTTCAGATCATACTTCTGGTACAATGCCATTGCTTCCAGCACCCGCGGAGATCTTCATCTGGCCGCATCAGTCCTATTAGATTAGCGCGTTTAGCGCATTTGTTTAGGCTAATTAAAATTAACTTTCTGACTTTGCAAAAAAAAAGTGTTAGCATTGGCTATGATTAACAAATATGTAGAAGCTTATCTTCAACAGTTGCAGTAGTAGATGCATGTTGATTAGGTACTTAGTGTCACGGACTTAGACTTCCACTGACGCTCCGTGCTGGGTTGGGAGATTATTATTGCAAACTCTTGTGGGAAAATTTTGTTTGTCTTGTTTCCTTCACATTATAGAGTTGCTATTAGTACAACAATATTATTTTGTTGAATTTTTTTTGTGGTATTGAATTTGACAACAAAGTATGATATATAGTTATATACCTGCCTTAGATTCGTTTGACCATAAATATCAAATGACGCAACAAAATTAAGCCCTTTATTTATTTGAAACAACGATAGTGTAAGAAAATTACATAATATAGCGACAATTTGGTTTTATAGAATATTTACATGTATATAATTAAGTAGAGTTATGTTGTATACGTGTGGATATACTTATTTAAAGAACTCGGGAGGATATTTATTCCTTTGAATTTGAAGCAATGACATTTTCCTTTTATACTATGTTTGAGTTAATACGATGTTCTCAAATTGTGTATCCTGAAGAAAATAAGTCAAGAGTTATACCGTCAGAGCACTGAAAATAATACATAGTAGACTTAAGTCTCATAAAAAAGAGTGAGATATTTATGCCTCAACCTAAATATTTTTTTATTTTTTTATTTTTCAGCTATAATTTGTGGTATCAACAATTCCTTTTTTCTTAGTTGACAAAATCTTAATAATATTTTAGTTGTCAGTAACATTTGACCTGTCAGCCTAAGATTAGAAAATTAAAGAAAAAATAAATCAAAACTGCAAAGTTGACCTATTACGTGATATTTTCATTTTATCTATAGATCAAATTATGTAAATAATGATATATTCTTTTTATCATATTTACCTAAAAAGGTATAAATTTGTAATATTTTTTATATAATTTTAAAATATCTAAATTTTGATTTTAAATTTGAATCAATATAATTCAATTTAACTTTAAAAATGAGAATAATTAATTCTAGAGAAGCAAAAAAAATGTTATAAAAATTGAGATAGACCGATGATTATTATTATTTTTAGTGAATTCAAATAATTTGTTTATCCTTTTCAATGATCAAGTAAAATTATTACTTAATCAGCACTAATTATATTGATCCTATAAATGAACCCCTATTCATTGTTTTCCAATGACCAAGTCAAATCTTTACCAATTTTGTTATAGCATATAGTTCATAGTATTACTCCCTCCGGTCCACTTCACTTTTTTTCCTAATTAAATATGTATTTTAAAATATTTGTTATTTTAGAAAATTAAGATATAGCTAATTATTATTTCTTACATGTATCCTTAATATAAGCATGGAGAGAGATTCATGTACAGAAAAGGAAAATAATTGAGATAAAAAAACAAATAAGGATAATGTAGTCAAATTTATTCTTTTAGTTAATTTTATTAAGAATCATGTTTAAAAAAAATACCATGATAAGTAAAATAGATTAAAGAGAGTAATAATTAATTCATGAATTCCTTAACTATATTTATGAAATCAAAATTAATCGATGTATAATTTGTGTTCACATTCCTACTAATTTATATAATTATTATTCTACATTATATTCAAATCTATTATTTATTGATATTTATTATATTCAAATTTATAATGCTCAAATCTATTATTTGTTAAAAACTTTTCCAAAATTAATTTCATAAAATTATGCCCCATATTAAAAATATTAATTCAGATTACATTGAGTGTTAGAAAAATAGAAAAAATAGAAAAAATCTTAATGTTATGATTCTACATTCCATTAAGGTGTTCAAATTAAGTAATTAAATAAAAAAAAATTCTTGTGTTTTCATTTCTACTAATTCCTATCATTATTTTTCTATATAAATCTACTAATTCTTATCATTATTTTTCTATATAAATCTACTAATTCTTATTATCATTATTTTATATAAATCCACTCTATAAATTAAGACCTCCGTTCTCTCTCCTTATTACTTGTTCTAATATAAAACCATGAAACAAAAAAAAGTATATGAAAATTTTGCCTCTCTTAATTTCATCATCACAAAACCTTCATTTCACTGAAGAAAATATTAGAAATCAATTGACACACGATGATAATGATGATCACAAGCAAGAGAGGAAGTTAGTGGAGGAATTAGAGAAAATAACTAAATACAAATTCAAGAATCCCAACTTGTTATATCAAGCTTTTACTCACTCTTCCTTTCAAGAAAATTGCGAATCATATGAGAGATTGGAGTTGTTAGGTAATTAGAAGTGGATCTAGAACATTATTTTAGATCACATGCTTTAAAGTCTCTTGAATTTTGTGCTCACTCAATCTTATGCAGGTGACTCTATTTTGAATATGTTAATAACATTGAAGCTATTTTTTGATTATCCTGATTTGTCTTCCGGGATGCTAACAAAGTTGAGAGCAGCCAATGTAGATACTGAAAAACTTGCTAGAGTCGCCATCAAATATAACTTACATAACTACTTACGTCACAAAAGGCCTTTACTTAAAGGACAAGTAAGTATATTTCAATAGATTTAATTAATTTGTACATAGGGATGGCAATGGGGCGGTGCGGAGTGGGGACGGCGCGGGTTGAGCTTAACGCACAAAATTTTTAATCGGCACCGCTCCTCCCCGCATAACATTTTTTTTCCATTTTCAACCCCCCACATAAACCCGCTCCGCATAATTTTTTTAATATATTCTTTTTCTAGTTAAGTTTGATACTAAAAAAAAATTCGTAAACGTAAATTCACTTTTTCATTAAGTTGTATTAATTTAATAGGATAGTGACCTGAAATTTTATTTTTTAGAGGTCAATTGGGAAACATGTAAGAAATTGAATTATTATTTTTTGAACCTTTTTCATTTACTATCTTGAACATTTTAATAGCTTTAAAGAAATTATCTTAATAAATAATGCTCTAT